CAATTTTTTATGACAGGGCCAAGAAGAAACGGAGCAGTGCTGGCAATTTGACCTTTCTTCGGATTTTTTAAGTATCTTTTTTTGGCTTAAATGTTTTAAATTAAATAATAATAGGGTTCTCTCTAAGAGCTATAAGAGAGGTAATGATACCATATGTTTTTAATTTATTTTTTTGTTGCAAATTTGTATAGCTATTTTTTTCGAAACTGTATATGCAAGTCAGCACTGACTCAAAATAAAAGAAAAAGCGTGTCTGGTCGCTAAAGTGGCTATTTAGCATTTTAGAGTAGGCGAACATGACCTCAAGGAGCCGAGTCCTTTTCTTGTGCCCCTCTCTCTGCTGATTTCTTGTTGTTTGAGCCTATGAATTTTGTATTAATTTTCTTGGCAATAGGATGACAAAAATGAATTGTTGAATTTAAGAAAACTGCGAAATGAATTTAGTGTTTATGGGTTGTTAAAAATAGAAGAATTATTTAATTTTCTGAATATATAAGTTTTAAGATTTGTAAAGGAATAGCATTTAGTGATGGATATATTTATAGATTTTTCATTAACTTAAATTCTGGTTTATAACCTCTTTGTATATCCTCCTCCTACCTTACGATCCTTTGCAAGAACAACAACACCCTTGCAAGTCCTTCCGAGTAGGTAGATTCTTATGTTCAGGTAGCAAATTACTAGAAAGTAGGCAACAGTTTCGTTTACTTATTTCCGCATCGCTGACTTTTATAATTCCCAACTCGTTCTAGCCAAATCCGACTCTAGTAGGGACTCACTTGGGGTTGAAAGTTATCTTTGCGCAGAGGCGATATCGTAACCAATGAAGTCCTACTGAGGTGCGATTATTGCTAGTTGAAAACTTTAACCAATACCCCGCCATGGGGACGTGAAAAACCGTCCACTACGGCAATTTTTGGGAGCCCGAGAGGGCCATTTATAATACATTTAAATATTTAACACTTGATAAGAACGAGAGTCCCTTTGAACCCTTGGCAATTGTTATCTCAAACCAGGCATTAAAATGTGTTTATGTTATCTGATGAGTCATTAGAATTTAACGACCAAATAACTATGATAAACACTTTAGTTTCCCTAAGCCTGCTGGAAAGTGCACACGAATAGCTTCCGCCATTAATTCGTGTCGTTTGCATCAAGCAAACTCCCTCCCAAGTCACACGACGGTAAAGGGTTCAAGGAGCATTAGACAAATTAAACTTAATGTTAATTCCCATTTAGCCTACTCCAGCAACGACGACAACAACACTCAGACTAAGCCGTATAACCATCATGAGCACACCAATTTCTGGCGGAGAATTCCCCGAACGTTCCTGACCGAAAATTACTGCCGCAATTTATGTTTATGTGACTGGAAACTTTTTCCTTTGGCTAGATTTTTCCCTTTTTATAGTTCAAATGAGACAGGAGGAAACGGCAACGGAAACGGATACGGAATCCTTTAACTTCAATATAAATTTACTGCTTGTTAGTTTTTCCTTTGGAGAAACTTCAGCCCAGCCTTCGGTGCCATTTATTCTGCAGGCTAATTTAGACCCTCAAAAAGGTAAGCCGCAAATTCCCGAAGCGTAACATTGGTCAAACTCCAGAGACTGGGCGCTGGCTGCGTTTCCTTTTTATAGACCAGGCAAATGTAATTCCGAAGTGACCCCTGGACCCCCGAGCATATTTCATTTTTTACGCTTAGCCTACTTTTTGTCAATGCCAGGCATGTAGCACTGATTTGGATTTGGATTTCTTGCCTTTTCTTGGCCTTCTCAATTTATGCGATATTTATGCAAAGCAATCCCACATTGATGAAGATGTTTTATTGTAAAGCTCGTCCTAAGAAAGGCCAGAGAAGATAATATTATTCAATTACAATTTAAGGAAAATGGCTGAAGAGAAAAGTGAAGAAGTGTTGAAATCTGAGAATGTATGTATGCTTCTTATTAACTTTAAGTTGGCGCTTACAAACAGTTTTAGACAAACATAAAGGGATACAAAAAGGCAATTTTTAACTTTATTCACATTTTGTCTTATGTTTTCAGATTTCATAACAATATGATATAAACAGGGAATTATGTAGTTTGCAGAATAGCAGAATAATTTCATATTAGGTATCATCCCCTAAGGCTGGCTTTATTGAATTAAATTGTTTTTGCTTTTGTATTATTAGAATTCCCAACTACTTTTATTTCTACATAAAATTTCGTAAGGGTGCTTTCGATATATATATATATATATTTTTTGTATCTGTAAACATTATGATAATAAAATAAAGTAAAAAAAAAAAAATTAAATAAAACAGGCTTTTCACAAAACTTGAATAAATTTTATACTTATAAAAATTATATAACAAAAATAATTTTAAAAAACATTGTGTTATGAATGAAGTGACATCACTTGTAATCTTACATCCTTACGAATGTTCTTGAAACCCATTGTTATTTAAAAAATGCTTATATTTAATTCTTATTATATTTAAGTCTAAGGAAAACGAAACGTGTATAAATACTTTCCATGTCCTTTGTCCTTTTCCGTAGACTCACACCTTCGGCTGCCAGCCAAAGTTAAAGGGAATTTATCTTGTAAAACGCAATTCGTGTCAAGTCCCTATATAATAAAGGGAACTTATTGTTTATACCAATAATAGTGGGTAGCTGTATCTGCTATTAAATTTTGAACACCGAAAATTCGTATGCCGCGAATTTAACAGTAGCGGAAATAAAAAATATCTTAATTAATATCTTTAAAGGGGAGCTAAAAGAGTAGCATAAAGTAAATGAGATAAATAGACTCAAAAATTATCTGTTTTAGCAGGCGTATTTAAAGAAAGATTCTTAAAAAACCTTATTTTAACATACCACATTTTATTTACTCCTAAATTCTGTCAAATATTTACATGTTTAATGTAGAATACATTTATACTGGGTTTTCCACAAACCGGTATAAATTTGATGGAAAATTCCTCCGAAATTGCCCGACAGTGATTTAACTGTGGTAGGACTTTTAATAAACTTTTCGGAATTGGCCTCTAAGAGTTGTCATCTCACCTTTTAATATTAGGTTGCGGGTTTTTAAGCTAATTTGTTTAATATTTTTTATCATTTATTGCGAAATAATAGGGTTTTGAGTGGTTTTTTAAATAAATAATGATGTTTTAATAAAAGAATGGATTTTTAGCTAATAAATATGAAATACAACATTTTCACATTTCTTTCTTTCTTTAAAATAAATAAGCTGTCCAACCAAAAGTTTCTTTATATTCTTTAGTATATTGCACAAAAATACCTTAAAAAGAAATGTATATTAACCGAGAAAATATTTTTTTAGGAATATGTATGCGCTAAAAGTTGAATCCCATTAATATATAGTGCATGCAAGCTTGGAAAGTTTTCAGTGAAATGGGTCTTCTTTTATCGATTAGAGTGTTGTTCCTACTTTAAAAAGCGATTGTTTTCAATTTCTTTCAATGCTCAGCGCAATCCTTTTTTTGCGACTCTTCTTTGCGAGGCTTTCTATCAGCGTTTTGCATAAATTTTCACTTTGTTTTATCAAAGTCTGTCCCTAATTCGTTTTCTCCCATTTTTTGTAACTTTGCTTTTGTGCGGTCCTTGCGCCTGAGATTTTTCTATTGAGATAGTATTTTGTTGTCGCTGTTGCCTTGTTTTTAATCCTTTACCCATTGACTGCGACAACGAAGGACCCTTTTTTGTTTGTGTTGGCCTGGTTGCGTCCTGGTTGACTGCATACACGCGACGCGACACAACGCGACTCGACGGACATTTTATAGTTATTGCCCCAAAAATTCCCCAGACGGCTTTAGCCATTTTCTATGCCACTTGGGTTTTATTTTGCTTTCATGAATGTGTGTAGGTCTGCTCTATGGAAATTGGAGCTCTATTGTTTTATAGTCGCATTGGGGAGTTATCACATGATGAACAAACGGTAGAGAAAATATGTTGGAAAATTGAGTCTTATGTGGCGAAGGATTGCTGCATTAGAAGCATTTCAAAAAAGAAGCAAACAAACAATAGAATTTGCAAAATTTGACTTTAATTTATCATAAAATGTAAATATTTTTCAACGGTTTTGTACTTTTATTTTATTTATTTTATTATTTTATCTTTAAGTTCATTGAATTTTGGTTATTAATTTGAATGGAAGTAAAACCTAATACCCTTCAGAAAATCTAACTAAGAATATATAAAATATTTGTAAAGTAAATAAAATAATCCCAAATTGCGATACACTGAATTTCCCTAGCCCCTCTTAAATATCCTTTATTAATGCTTCCCCTTATCAATTGTGACGTCACAGTTCAACCTGTTAAACCTGTGGCATTCCTCTTGAGCAGAGCAAGGACCTGGCACAAAGCCCCATAAACCACCAGAAGAGGGAAATATCCCAATGAGGGGAAACCTTTCCTCCTTAACTGGTGGTGCATTGAACCAAAGCCGGCTTTGGATGAGGATATTTTCGAAGGCTAAGGTCAAATGCAGTCTGCGGGGGAGGTTTAAAGGAAGTGCTTCCAGTGAGCGGGAAATGTCCTTGGGAAATTTCCCTGTTGCTCTGTGTTTTTGGCTTTGGTCCTTTGAACTCGTGGCAGTGCTTGTTGGTCTGCGGTAGCGTACGCTTCGCCTTCATCGCTTGTCGCACGCGTTCGCCAGGATTTCGTTCTCGTCCTTTTTGGCGTTATTTTTTGCTGCGTTTCGTGAGTGATAGCGCGTGTGATTTAGGGTCGTGGTAAACGAAAAAAACGCCGCATTTCTTACCAACTCTGGATAAGCCCCGTTACCCCTTTTCTATACCTTCAGTGACCAGCAAAAAGTGACGAATTAAAAATATATATATGTGTAATGGCCAACTGATTTGCTATGCAAACGACACACGAAGTTCGCGACAAAGACGGCACTTTATGAATAGGAAATAAGCCTGCCCACCCCCTCCGATTTCTTTCCTTGAAAAGGAATTGTGAACAAGACATAAATGCCAGAAAAACATTCGCAAAGGATAAGCGAGTAAAAATAATCATAACTGCGGCAACACGACTACACAAATATTTGTGCAAAACTGACTGAAATAATAAACTTAGATGTAGGGAACTATTTACATTAAATTTTTAAGGACTTTAAATTTCAAAAAGTTCTTAAATAATTGTTTAATATTGAGAAAAGGACTTTTTTGATTCAATTTTGTTTAGTCTTAATTTCCACACAAGCACAAAATTGCTCTTGCTCTTGCCGGCTTGCTGTTTTATCTTTGTATCCGTTTCCTGTTTTAATGTTTATCTTAATGTCAGGACTCCCTCCCTCTCTCTTTCTCACTCTCTCTGTCATGTGTGTGTGTTTTGGATTTTTTAGCTAATGTAGTGCCATTTTAGGCGCCACAATATAATAGATAATAAAATGTAATGTTGTCTTGGTGGCTTAGGCCCCGGAGCGGGAATGTTCCCTTTTTAAGGAAGTCTCCTTACCCATTTGGTGCGTGCCCTCACCGAATTATTGCGCTTGTGTGCGTAATAAAACTCAGCCGCAGAAAATCTCTTGTACGCTGAAACGAAATTGTATCAAAAACAAGAGATACCATCGTCATGCCTTAAATTAGATTGGATGATGTGCCATAATGAGGATATCAGAGGGCGTGAGTGCGTGGCCATGCAGAATCATAGGATATAGGATCCAATGAAATATACATTTTTATAAAATTGGGAAGGGATTACTTTACATTTGAAATGTTGGGAAAATCTTTGTATGGTTTTTCTTAATATATTTTTGGGTATTTTAATATATATTTGAAATTTTTACTATTTTACAAGGCATCGGTTTTTCTTTATTTATGTGCAATTTATTAATTTAAAAATTTTTATTAATTTTAAATTACACATATCTAGATTCACTCACCTAGTGATGTCTCTCAAGAATTTGTATATTTTCAATCAAGTAGTCTAGCCCAAAAGAGGAGTTGCTTTTACCAACAAAGTCATTATGATTCATAAAGAAAATTCCTTGATTTTTCTGCAATAATATTCATTTCCTTTCCTAAAACATATCCCAACTGTTTTAGCATCGTATTCCCGGGATTATATTTCTGGTGCTTTTATTCTTTCCATGTGTGTTTGCCTTACTTATTATGCGGGAAATGTTGTGAGACTTCCGCAAGTGGAAGTGTACACAAGAATAAGACGTGTTTATCTAATTTTGGCGTAGCAAAACTTTCATGGACGTGTTAGGCAGCGAAAAACCAACAATATGTTATCATCCTTAAAATATTCTTTAAAGGGAATAAGGTAGAATCAGTATCTAAAAAAGTCAGATATCGATTGTAATTTTAAAAAGAATTGTTTTGACTTTAGATTAAAATATATAAGGGAGAGGATTTTATTTTTATTTTATTATCTAGAGGCCCATTTTTGACACACTCCAATATTTGTTTTAAACAATTTAATTTATAAATTTGCCTAAGGTCTCACTTAGGTTTAAAGGCTAGAAGTTTTCTAAATTACTTTTGAAACTTTAATAAAAGAAATGAAAGTTCAATTGCATTTCCCACTAATAAATGTTAAAGCCTACCACCCATCACACACACACACACACCCCCAACGTACGCACACTCACACCGCCCGACATGAGTTGCCTCTGATACTGAGTTCCTCTCACTTCCGGCATAGCCGGAAGTTCTCAAGCATGTAAAGGAAAAAAAAGGGCAAACAAATCCAAAATAAACAAAATTGTTGGCGAAAAAAGGAAAAGGAATAGAACAAGAAAAAAAAAAGTAAAGAAAAGAAGCTGTGTGTGAAAAAGAAATGCTTGCGAAGCGGAAATTAAGACCCACTCCAATGAAACGAACAGGCGCGCCCCAAAACAAAGCTGCCAAAAGTTCGTAAACAAACACATGTCCCAACTGTCTGCTCCCGTTTACCCACCGCCTAGCCTCCCCCCCACCCAACCATTTTCAACTGTGTGTAAACAATTGCGAACATATCACATTTTAATCCGATGTAGTGGAAAATTGCGTCAAGCGAAACAAGCAGCGGGGAAAATGGTTTTCCTTGCACTGTGTGTGAAGCGCCGAGAATTGATTGTACGCCATTTTTTGTCCTTAGCGGATTAGTGAAGACACGTAATAAGTTGAAATTGTCTTATCCGCTTACGTAATTAAAAACCAGGGGCACCTTTTTGCCCCGTCTGCGCGCTTGTTGTTATCCTTGTTAGAAGCTTTCGAGCCATTTATGTTAATGGCTTTCGTGCACCTGGCAAATCCTTACAAATGTCCCTCTTGCCGCCCTAAAATTGAATAGTCCTGTTCCCGTTGCGTCCGTCTGGTGCTAATTTATGAGCTTGATGCGTGACCATATGGCTGCACATCCGTCGCCAGGGACACACTGCCCCTATCTCCAGTTTATTTTGCTCAATTTATGAAGTTGAAAATATGCTTTCGGTGTCGACCAGGTCGACCGACAATGACTTGGAAAATTGTCGAGTAAAAGTTGCTTACAATTACTGTGCTTATAAATATGCAACGATTTTTGAAATCTTATAGCAAGGGAGAGGCTCTAGCAAAAGGCAAGAGAGAGTTTTGTAATTTCAAGTCGACTTAGGAATTATTATTATATTTTCTTTTATGTGAAATTTGAATAAGATAATATATATTAATATTAAATTTAAGAAATCGGGAAATTTTGGCACTATTTCATATTTGTTTTCAAGAAATGTATCAGTAATAACTCCTTAAATTCGATAGAGTATCTCTCCGAGTAACTTGACAGGAACCAAGCTCTCTTTCAAAAATATGAATACATTTTCCCAGCTAATTTCGATTCCCACTGAAGCTTATTAATATGCTTTTGATAAATATTTATATTTCATGCTCGGTCTCTCATCATTAAAATTCCGGCAATGTTTACACATTTTTTTTTTTTTGCGCTAGAGTAGAAACCAATTTTGGGCTTACCAAACCAGGAAAAAAAATTCTCGTTTTCATTTTGCCTGTTAGTTTTTAATTTTATACGTTTTCCTTTGCTTTCCCCTGCCATAAATTGTCTATTGCTGTCATACTTTTGGGTATTTAATAAATTTTATGACTTTGTTGGTGGAAACCGGAGGGGCAAAATGAGGCGGCGGCTGGGTGCTGTTTTAAGGTTGCTTTGCTTTCTTTTTTAATAACATTCGACGGCGTTCCCGCTGCTTTTTCCGTTGTCCGCCTGGGGATATGCGCCTGTCTCCATCTTGCTTTTTACCTACTTCCGCTTCTTCGAATTGCAAATATGGGTATTTATGCCGCCATCTCTGGGGTTCTCCCCCAGTTTCGCGTCCCCGAAGTATGCAGCAATCTCTTGTATGAGTTTATTATGTAAGCTTTTGCTTGAAACACACAATTTCCTCGAGCGATTTCCGTATTCCCCACTCGATGGCTCTTATTAAATTGTATGGTCCGCCCCCTTATTACCGACCAACCGCCCCCGTCCCAGTTGGATCGTTAAGTAACAAAAATACGATGACTGCTTGCAAATTGCGCTTTAATTGAATTGCACATAGATTTTACTTTATTTTTTTTTTTGTTTCTTTCCCTCTCTGGGCAAGCAGTTAGATGTAAGTTTTGTGCGGTTTTACCACGCCTCCCGCCCCCAACTTGGGGCATAACTCAAAAGACTTTAGAAGTGCTTCAAACTGTCATAAGCATTGTATTCGTTCATTCTTTTTTCCACCATTTTTTTTGGAACACACTTTGCTACTTTACTCTTTACTCTTAAGTATAAGGGGATTCGGGAGGAGACTGATTACATTTGTTCCTAGAAATATATATATTTTGATACCCTTTTAGGGTAAGCTTATACATGACTTTGACCATCATCAGCAGAGGAGTCTATCTAGACTTATCAGTCTTTTTGGTCTCTGGCCTGTCATTGATAATTTGGGTTATAAAGAGTCAATCTTGGCAAGTTCTTGCCTTAATTTCTTTCTGATTACAAATCTTTTGCTTACAAAGTCAATATAATATTTCATTTTTCTTGTATATTCATCCTTTTAGGGCATCCAGGAGTCTTTGGCCCTCTTCCCTTTCTCAGTAAAAATTTCTGCATTTTTTGTTTGAATACCATTTAGGTTTGGTTGGGCTTTTTGCAACTGAAAGAAAGAAAAAATAAAAGGAAAGCATGCACTTTCTAAGTGGGTTTTGTGCGAAAGGCAGGCGGAAAACGGTCGCGGAGCAGGAGGTGGTCAACTTACCAGCAAATCAAAAGCATTTCTAACTTCGCTGGGAAGTTTGCACAGCGCGTCGAGCACTGAAAGCGCCACGAAGGGAGCTGAGATTGAGTGCAAATAAAATGATGTCATGAAGTGGGTTGTGGGCTAAAAGCGCCGCAATGCATGCCCCACTTCATTTCAGCTATCAACTCGTAAAGTTTGCGGCTTCATGGCCGCCAGCAAAACGTCGGGCGTCCCTGGGGAAGAGTGGTGGAGCTGTGATTTTTTTTCGTTCCTCCAAACAGAAATGGAGGAGACCACAGCAGGCAAGCTGCAATTACAAGTTGGTGACTGATGATGGGTGTGGGAGTGGGCCCCTAGGACTCAATGCACAAATCTTGACAAGTATTTTGTCAACTTTGACTGCTGGAAGCAGAAGCTGGGTAGAAGGACCAGATGAAGTGCAAGTTGCTTCAACCTCAAACCAAAAATGTTGAACTTTAAGACTGCTTCTCTTGTGTAGGTGTCTTTTTTTGTGTGAGTAAGTAGTCATAGAAACTGAGAGTGCCAAGAACTCGGTGATGTAGAAAAAGTGAGTTTGGGTTAGGGATGGGATATATTTATATAAGAGTATCGAATATCCTTATGCTTTTTTTTTATACCTATAACCCATTTGTTTTAGCTTCGCTTGAATTTGAATTCTTTAAGAAATATTATATATTTCTAAATTTCCTTTTAAATATATATTTAATTTCAAAACATGTAAATCCTTACGATAGCCTTCAGTTAACTCAATCTACTTAAATTAAATGTCACCCTCACTCTCCCATCTCTAATCTGGATTAATTAAGCCTGCAGGCGGTACTGTCTCTTTCTGCATTCCCCATTAATTAACTCGATTCAGTATTCGAGACTGCCATTGCCTACTGCCTACTGCCATCTGCAATTCAATTAAAAATTAACATTTTAATTGCAAATTACTTTATGTATACTTTATGGTGTGCCGTCCACAGACACCGGCAGAAAACTCCACTCAACTGGAGTAACTTCTTTCAGTGGCACCTGCAACCGAGCCAGGCGTACCAGAAAGTGTAGGAGCATCCTCCGAAAAGAGAGAGAGCTGCTGGAGGAGCAGCTCATTTCATGGCGTTTAATTTTATCATGCGCCAACAATTATGCAACTTGTTGGTTCACTGGCTTCCGCACAGGTCCAGGGCGTTTTCAATTTGTTGCCAATAAAACTTTTTCCATTTCGGTTTGCCCCTTGTGCTTTTTTTTTTTTTTTTTAGGTGGCCTACAAAATGTTCTCTTCTGTTTGGCTATGACAAGGCGTAGTTCTATGAGATGGCAGAAAAAATACAAATTAAAGTTGTAGTGTCCTTTCTGAGGGAAAGAATGCTGACCTAATCGTATTTGGGTGTATATCCTGCTATGTTTTCTTTTGGATGATTGAGAGCTGAATAGTTCTCTTGTTTATTTCAGTTTTCATTTTGTTAATTTGTGAATCCATTTGCTGCCAATTTGTTATTGATATCCCTGTCATTTCCTGGGAAATTGTCGGAATCGGAAGGTAATGAAAAACTTGATCAAATGTGAAACTCTAGTGAGCACTTGATATAAATTCTCGTATTGGGTTTCCATTCAATAGATTTTCATTCGAGTTTTTCTATACATAAAATGGAAGTTAACTCTTTTGTGTTTTGTTTATATTTAAAGCAAAGCATATTGAATTTTTTAAAGCATTCTTTAACTCATTTGCTTCTATGATTTCTGTGTAATTGTATTCAGTCACCAATTGAAAGTGAAGTTTACCCTTAACACGTATTGTTGTTTATGTTTTTTTCATAACTCTTGAAGCGGTTACCCGTCTGTTAATTGCTTTTGTAGACAAATTTAAAAAAACCTCTACCAAAGCATTGTTTTCGGCCAGAAGCTCTTCAAAAACAGACAAAACCACGACGTAACCATGACCATGATTTTGCCAGTCAAAACAGGAAAAAAAATGAACCAAACAGAATGAAAAGGGATCCTTTTTTTTTCTGACCGTTGGGTCAGTTTTAATTTAACTTTGACATGCATCAGCTCAAAAATCCAATTACAACACAAATGTATACAGAGAGAGTGAGAGAACGTCCCTTTTGTGAGGCTAGAAAACCCATTAAGTCCTTTTGCCTTCCATAAAGATGAAGATTTATGAAACCATTAATTTTGCTAAAGCGCGGAAAAATGTTTCAACACTAAAAACGAAGTGAAAAGTGCAGAACTCGTGGAAACAACGATGGATGCCTAGAAATGTCCAGTCAGCCGGGTAAGCTGCGAACGGGTCCCTCTGCCAAGCCCGATCGCAATGCCAACGAGGAGAACCAACTGGGCGCCAGGCCCAAGGAGCAGTCCAAGAGTCAGAGGATATTGCTCGCCCAGACAGACAACCACCAGCCGAAGATGCTGTCGCATCCCAACTACATGGAGCTGGAGTTCCTGCCCGAGGAGCCACCAGCCTTGGGACCCCCGATTACCTATCCCGATCTGCCAGTCAGCTATGCCACCAGTCTGGTGGGACCCCCGCCCTACAGGGATCCGCCGCCGCCGACTCCGCCGCCTCTGTCGCAAATGCCCTCGCGGCTGCTCCACTCGGCTCCCAACTCTCCCAGTCGCGGCAAGGTCGTGCTCAGCAAGAAGGAGCGCAAGGAACTGAGCAAGCAGCTGGGCATCGACGAAGCCTCGATCCTGAGCAGCAGCGCCCAGTCGAGTCCCTACAAGGGACGCGTCAGTGAGCTCAAGAACTGTATTGCGCGCGGGCTCTTTGCCACCTTGCATCGCGGCTCTCAGAAGTCCCTGCAACACCAGGATGACAGGGTCGCCAGCCAGGAGATATCGCCACCGCCGCCGGCCCCAGAGTCAGGCAACAATAACGAGGATGCGGCAGACTACTCCGAGAAGCTGAAGAATCTGCCAGTGCGCCAGCGTAAGGTAGCCACCTCGCATATGGAAAACTACTGCCTGTTCGATCCAGTGGACTTCATCAACGAAAAGGCCATGAGGTATCCCAGTTCTAATGGCCATGGCCTGAGAGATCCGTTGTTCAGCTCCAGGCAGCACTTGGTCTGTGAAGACGAGGACGAAACGGTGCCGGAAGTCATATACGACAATGAGGAACTGGAGCTGGAGGACACCATTATTATTGAGACATCGGCTTTGCCAGAGGCCGAGTCCGAGGCGAGTGCAGGCAACACCAAGATTCTGGCCAGCTTTGATCACCACAACTACTTTGTCATAGAGCCTGGGGACTTCTCCATGGACATAGGAATACCCAATCCGTACACCAATGAGCAGCTGGTGAACGCCAAGCTGGAGCAGCAGAATTTGGAGACGCTCTTTAGTGACTTGGAAAACCCAGCCAGTATGTCGAATAGCCAGGAGTCCAAGGATACGGAAACCACTTCTACCGCCTTGGTGGAGTCGTCCACGTCCACTAACTCGGCTAGTTCTGCAGGAAGCTGCTCCATTGCTAACCCAACCCTGCAATCGTCGAAGAAGAAGCTGACCTTTCTCAACTTATCACCGTTTCGGAGTGGCAAGAAGGCTGGCCAGAAGAGTACCTTTGAGCAGCAGCGAGCTATCTCCGAGTTGGTTAGCACAGATCACATGTTGCATCTGCAACAATTGCTGCAGGAGCAGCGCCAAGATCAAAGATCGCACACCGTGCCGACCGAGTCCAATTACGTGCTGTTCAATCCTGGTCCAGTGCCCAGTCGACATGTCCAGTACAAGATACGGAAACCACGACCCCTGTCCACTCACAGTGATGCGGACAGTGGTTTCTTGTCGCCGTGCTCGCCTGATGAACTGAGAGCCAATCCGGCCATTTTGGTGCTGCAGCAGTGCGACAGTGTCCAGGGATATTTGGAGGTGAGTTGCGAAAGGCCACTTATTATTATAGCAAAAAATAATGTTAGGGTTTGGGTATACTTTTTAGGCTTATTCCCAGGATATTAAAACTAACATTTATACATTCCGCAAATCCTCATATCCTGATGCAAATCCCATCATTATACTTTGGAAACCACCCACAAGAGTCCGCATAAGCTTATCTATATATACCATTTCCCATATCGTAAGCCGGGCTCTTTCCGGTGTCGTACTTGTCGCCATTTGCCGGCTCACTTATCTTAACGAGCGCGCAACTTAACAAGTCTTATTATGCATCTTGAAATACCCCAGGGGAGGTGTTTCGCTGTCCTCAGCCCTGGGTCGAAAACCACCCGCCTTCGCATCGAACAAATGCCAACCCCTCGGCCGATTCGTTTGGTATATAGTAAATTATCAAAAAGCACCCACGAAAATGCAGTGCAAGGCAGTGCATTCGAACGATTCTCGGGCATCCTGGGGGTTGAGGGTTTTTCCCGAGTTCTCTCTTTGGTTCCGCTGGATTGCCATTTCCCTTTGCCTCGTGCTGGGTCCTGGCTCTAGCCTGTGTTTCTTGCCGCCTCTGGGGAGCAATCAATCGTCGCGTATTCGCTGCTCGCTTCATTAGTTTTTCCACCGCCGAACATTAGTTTGATTGTCTTGGCAAGTGAGGAACAGAACAGGTTGAAGGAAAAGCAAGGGAGAGCAGGAAAAACAACTCCCACACCCACACTCGTACACCTGCTGTGCTTGCATCTTAGCGACTTTTAATGGAATTGAATTAAAACTGTTGCCATGGTGTTGAGTTCTCCGAAGTGTGATGGGAATGTACAGCATGCGGCACATCCCCCATGGAGCCACATATAGTAAGCTAGCTAGACCCCTTCCAGTGCTCTTTGCCGCAGGCATTTTCTATCATTTCCAAATTGAAATGCGCGCTGTAAATTTTTGCTTTGAGGCAAGCTTCCAAAAAAGCAAGAAGCAACAGCACAGCACGGAGTACGAAGTTGAGAGCTCGAAGCACGGAGCCTTGCCATCGCATTTCCTCTTCGGGCAATTTTTTGCTGTCCGGACCATCTAATGAAACGACGGCAGGGCATCAAGTGAAGCACACTTTTTGGCTCATTCGAGTGGCCTGCAAAGTGTCAAGTGCATTGCTTTTCATATCCTTGTGGGCGGGCGGTGGTGGTGGTTGGATGGATAGATGGCCGGGCAAATGAAGGCAGGAAAACAGGGAGTTGGGCGAGGCCCGCAGCAAATGGGATGTAAATTGATATACGCTTGGGGGCTTCAGCAGCAGCATCCAGAGGGTGGGCTACTCAAAGGTAAATGCTGTCATATCCCAGTTAGAAGTAGTTTCAAATAGGAAATTATTTTTATTAAAGGGAGTTATGAAAATATAGTAATTTTGGAAATAGATAGAAAGATACAAACAGGCTAGACTCTCTTAATTTTTTAATATTTTGTAACAAAATCTAAGTCAAAATACAAACAGCTGTAGTTTGAAAACTTAACTTTTGTAATTGTCTCCACAATTTAGCTCTACATTTTTCCACTTCACTTGTTTCCACCCCATGGATTTTGTCACTCGTACGAACATCAAGTCCAGCTATATGGTAGCTCCATTCGGAACGCTCCGAACTTTCCATCAAAGTCAAAGCAAACAAAAACATTTTTGGAATTTATGCAAACGGCGGCTGGCGCTTGCATAACCATAAATTGTGGTCCTTCCTCCCGCTGGGAATGGCCGGCAGTTTTTGGCCTAGGTCTATGTCGGCTACCACCACCCATTCCAGAAACTTTGGACTTCCCCTGTTCATTTACCCCCCCGAAACCTTAAGCGAAAAGTCTCAATTGCAAATTGCAAACAGCACAGAGGCATGCAATTTTGCCTTCCAAAACAAACCAGAGTCCTGCTCTGCCCCTGCACACCCTCTCGTTTTCCTGGGGTTTTCCCTGGACTTTTCCCGGGAACTTGTCGCGAGGCGCTAAGCTGTCAACTGTCAGGCATCGCTGCGAGAGGATGCTACTGCACCCAAAAACACTTCTTCCTCTTTCCCACTCTCCAGGGGGTGGTTTTCAAAGGGGCAAGGCAACCTTTTTGGGGGTGAACTTGTGCCAGTCGCGTGTTGTGCGGCTACTTTGTGGACCCACACACAACCTGCCACTCCCCGGACGTCTCTGATTAGTCCAATAAGTTGTAAAAAGTGTCGCTGCTGCTGCTGCATTCCCTTGGTGATTATCAGATGTACTGAGGGGTTGGGATTTCATTTCGATAACCTTTTGATTTATGACCGGCAATAAATGTTCAATGCACTTTATAATTATGTTGGGCCCACAGCGGCAAATGAAGGGAAAATGTCCTAGCCATATGTGCGAAAATGTACAAAATTACGAATGAGATTTTTACTTTTTTTTTTTGCGGAAAAAATTTTATGTGCCATTTGCAGACTTGTGAAGTGGAGTGTAATTTGTAGTATAGACCCTTGAAGCTTAATTTTAATGTTTCATTATTACGCACAAAGGGAATAAAAATAAAATTGGAAAAGTCTAATAATGAGTACTTACCATTACTAACTATATAAAAAAGTTGAGTGTAAATAAATGGAAAATTAAGTAAACACAATAACCGGGCATGCAATATTTTTATTTCCCATTGAATTTAAAAGATCCATTAGCAAATTGCGTTCATCACTAAATTAAAAATTCAACGTAACGATGACATCGGTGCATGTATAATTTATAAAGTATTCAATATTATTTGCAGGATCTACGATTGTAAAATTAATAGTAATTAAGCATGCAAGGATGTCCACAATAAGCTAGTCCCACTGTCAATATTGTAAACCCTTCTTCAACCTTCATTTCATCGTGAAAATTCCCCCATAAAGGAGGTGCAGATTAAGCTGCAATTTATAGAGAAAATATTTTTTCATTCATAATTATATTGGCGAAGAGAAATGGTAATTTTAATTTTTCTGCAATAATTTTATTGCCAGTCGTCCGTCCAGTCGCCCTGCCATCTGGTCGCAAAGAGTGCCATTTTAATGGACGTTCGCGTTATTAATGCCGGAGTTGCTGCACATATGATGGCGACAGGCTGGACAAGGACAACGACTTCCTCTTTCTTCCATTTTCCGGCCATTTTCTCGGACTGCGTAGTCCTGCTGCTTAAATGCACATTTCATATTTTTCCGGCGCACTTAAAGTTTTCAATTTTCCGCTCTATGTGCCACTGGGACTCTGGGAGTGTCCTCCTTGAATCCATTTTATTTACATGGACGGAGGCTCCGTTGACGTCACTTAGTGGGCGCATGCGGGACATTAAAGGCAGTCAGCCTGGAAAACTGTCCTCCTCCCACCCCTCTCCCTCGCCCTGTGCTGCAAAATGCAGCCCTGACAGCTAAATGCGTTGCACTTATGCTTAAAACATGTCGGGCCGTCCAGACAGCACTCCAACAGTCGGAGGCGGGATAGCTCCACCAGGAGAGACAGGGCCATTGCAAGGGTATTTCTTGGCTTTCTCTCATTTTAAATGATAGTTGAAGTAATGGACCGATGGAAAATAAAACAGGATTAGGTTCCCAGGAGGCTTACTTTCTGTGAGAAATTTTAACGCCAAATCTAGCACTAACTATAATATACCTGTGCTTGTAAAGTTAGTAGTATTTAAATTCAATAATGTGATTTTTTATATAAATATTAAAAAAGGAAACTATAGTGTATATTATCCTACTACTTCTGATTGTAGAGGGTATCCAAAACATTACATTTCCCTAGGGAATACAAACGCAAGTCACAAAGTTTCGAATTTAAATTTCCACTTTTTAGAAAGCTAGTTATTTACATTCCCTTGACCGCTTGCCTGTCAAGTCAAAATGGAAACTACTATGCATTATTTAACAATAATCGTGACAGATTTATAATGTCTTCAGTTCCTGTTTGCTCTGCCCATTCTATTCCTATTGAGAGAATGCATCAGACCAGCAACAACGTTGGAAATGCAAAAGTTTTTCCCGTTTTTCGCTTATGGCATAATCGGTAGAGCGGAGTTAGGAAACTTCTCCGGGCTTCGTGTGCCGGCTGTTCTTTTTTTTTCCTCGGGAAGCTGTGAAAAATTATAGCCATAATTTTTGGCCAGTAACCAGGCTGTGCAGGCCTCCACGGTGGCTTGCACTCAGCACTGTGTTCTCTGGGAGCTCCCAGTCCACTTTTCGGCGCTTAATGCATATTTAAAACTGCTTTGCTGGATAGTTTCCAGGGGGTAACTGAAATTGTGCATTTTTGGCTTATTGAGAAATTTATTTATTAAATTCTACTTGAAGCCATGGGCTGCCAGTGTTTGTGCAACTAATTAAAAAGTTCTCGTTTTTGCCCTTGGCCTCCTCACATAAACCTCGTCCATGGTCTTCGAAACTATGCAATTAATTTAGTCAGCTAGTCAATGCAGCCAAGTGTGCGAAGCATATAAAATAATTGCATTGTTTTTGCCATTTCTTGGGCAAACAAAAATCAGATTTTCTCTACGCAATTATTTACATTTCTTTTGGCCCAAGATGCATTCCATTTCATTCATTTTTCTCCCTCCATCATCTCAGCTTTGTGCATTTGAAAGGCACAAAAACATGGCAAATAAATCTGTTTAAAATGCGGGAGAAGTCTGCTGCAGGAGAGACTCCATTCTTGTCTGCTTTTTAACCAGAGAAGAGGAGCTCAAGAATCAGAGATAAAGTTACCTCAGTAAAAAGAGACTTTAGTGACACACTTTACTTAAATTGTAGATGGAACTGTCAAGCACATTTCTAGAATACTCTAAAGCTTTATTATACAAGTAATCATAAGGTTTTAAGTTATTCAAAACAATAGAAATTAAAAAAAGAAAGTAAATATAATAAAAACAAAAAGTTCAAAAATAATATCATATAAAACATTCAGAATCGCCAAAAGCGCCTCAAAAGTTAGTGCAATAACTATGGTTGAATAATTTCTTGAAGGTAAACAGT